AATGAAAGATGATTCAGATTGAGGGGGAAACGGCTAGTTTGGTATTAGTAGCTCCATCAGAGGTAAAGAAGAAACTGCACTACTTGAAATGTGACATTTAAAAGGAAGACAGACTTGTTGTCAGCGTAGTAGTAGTTTCAAGCAGAGAGATTAGGATGAAGTTGTTCATGAGCTCCGGCACGGAGTAGAAATTAAATAAGTGAAGTTAAATAAAGAGCTGACAGAGAGAAGCTGACGGTGTAATGAGACAACAGTTGACAGGACGGCTCAGCCTTCCAGTCCCATCATAAAAAGGTTAATGAAGTCACACTTGGAAGCAAATTGTTTCAACCTTTATTAAACATAGCTTGCAAGAGATAAATATTACAAAGTTATTTCCTCCAAAATTAGCTTATTTTTTCAATCAATGCATAATTGTCAATCAACTGGCAGTATTCAAACAGCATTATTTTCTTTTACTTTTTTGAAGACCGTTAAATATCAAGTATGTGCAAAAGGTCAGGATTGATGTAAGCAAAACAAAATGGACTTCAATTAGTCTCGATTTCGTTGTCTTGTTTCTGCTTCCCCGGGTGTTTGCTTCAACATTGTCAAACATTATGCAAAAAGAAACGCTTCTGCAGGTAAATTGATCAAACTGATTTTGCAATCAAATGTTTCCCTGCATTCAGCGACAACAACTAATAGAAGATAAAGCCGAACAGTAGAGGACCGTACATGTTGTATGCTGTTGGCAGGAAAAGTGATCACTGATTCAGGGTCAGCAGCTGTGGACATTTAACAAAACAAAAAGGTCGGACCAGGCTTCCACTCATGTGAGAGATTATACATGGATGGACTATTTAGTGCCCAACCTCTCTGTTTATATGACTGTTTCTGTACGACAGTAGGCGTTACATCCAGAGGTACCTTCTTAGACAACAGGCCTCAGAAACAGCTAGAGAACCCTGGAGGAACCCTCTTAGAACTCCGGCTGCAGTGATTTTGTGTGTTTAAGCACATTTACTACAAACCGCGAACACACAGCTGTCCATTTCTGATAGTTCTGTGTTTTTGCCTAAGCTGCACTCATTTCACTAGGACACTGGAACTTAAAGGTTGGTTTAGAGGGCTGCATTGGGATTCCGCAGGACCCAACGCAAATCTTGCAGGAACGTGGCGGGTCCAGGGATTCATCTTGCACCCACCAGAAGGATGGAGACAGTCAACAAATTAAATTGAGAGGAAGATTAAAGCAGGTTTTTACAAAACAACAGCAAAGCAAGGCAGGTCTGGCATTTGGAGACATTTCTCAGCTGTTACTGTCAGTAGAATAACGTCTTTTCACCTGCAGGACAGGAGAAGACATAACGTCTCTATTGTGCGGGTGGGAATGGGCAGAATGCTTGCTTGCATCCTTTCTATGTAAGAAACAGTCTGTATGAGAACAGCAACGCTGGAAAGAGGTTATTTTTTAAATGTTGTCTTTCAGTGCCGTAAGCAGCACCTACTGTCCAGTCCAGCACATTTTGAGCCCCAGTGGTTCATAGAAAGCCAATGCCTGAATATGTGGACTTCAGGAAGTGGTCAGCAGTAATGTGGGATAGATGTGATTTGTAGCGAACATGCAAAAACACCAGACTGGTCCTGAGAGGCCAGTGTCAGCAAACCAATCTCAACCCGGATCCAACCATTAGTTCAGGAGGGGCCTTCAATTCTGTCCATGTAATCCAACACACACGGTCAAACATTCAAAGTGCTTTTATGTAGAGCAAGTTCACAAAACCATAAGTTATCCCAAGCTCCATCGCCCCAAGAGAAAACTAAAGAAATGTTCGATGTGTAGCCGACTGCAAACCCTGTCTGTCTGAACCAGTGAGCACTTTCCTGCAAACTCTAACTAGTCCACAACCAAAGCGAATGCATCCAGGGAGACCGCTTCAAGAAGCGGAGGAGGGAGGGGGGAGGAAAAAAAAAAGAATCCCAAACATTTTGCACATTTGTTACACAATAATACACAGTGATCACAAAACGAAATGACAAGCTTCACAATATTCATGGCTTTTTGTTTGCTTTTCTACACAATATACAACCATTTAATTTCTTTTTTCAGTACAAGGGAGGAAAAAATGCTTATGTACAATAAGTCATTATTACTTCAAACCTAGCAAATATCGTGTCATTTATTTCATAGTCAATACATTTGTTTATTTTTTTTTAAACTGCGATAGAAAGAAAACAGAACTCAGTTGAGACGTCAGAAAAAGAATGACTTTTGAAATCTAGAAATCGAAATTTGAAAAGAATCTGCGTCCAGATACAAAGGTGTGTGGATGCATCTGCAAAAGAGCGAAGAGAGACAGGAGCTTTTTTTTTTTTTCTTTCTTTCTTAACTTCAGCTTGGTGGCAAAAAAGGAGATGTATGACGAAAACATCGTTAAAAATCAAATGGTGAGTGGCAGTAAAAATGTACCCCCAGACGTTAAAAACACATGAAAATATATCTCTACATCCAATTTGAACTTTCCCACCAAAGGGAAACTTGATTTCTGTTTTTTTATATAATAAACAGAAAAGAATGTTTTCTGAATCTAATCCTAGGTAGTTTCATAGTCTTCCATTTCACTGGGCTGTCGATCGTTCTGATGCGGTGACGGGCCAGGTCTGGATTCCTCAAACACATTTTCCTTGCGTCAACACACCCATCTGACAGTCTGGCTGGAAAGAACCCACTGCGCACATACGGACAGTGACACACACTCACATGAACAGTGATGGGAGACGTGCAGAGACTGTGCGATTACACCACCAATCTCTCAACCACGTGGAGCTCCATCAAGGACGACCATTGGAGGACTGACTGTTGGTTATTAAAGTCAAGGCTACAGAATGAGAGACACTGTTTGGGTGTGTCTTAGGGTCAATAATAATATCATTTTGGTGAGAGTGAACTGTTTGAAACGGCAGATATTGTTTGCAAAGTATACATTACTGTGGTTTGACCTAAATGGTCTTTGCTTCTGAAGAGGAGCTCATGAGCAGTGTTGGCCACTCAGACATTACTAGTAATATTACTGTCCCCAAAACTAGTAGTGTAACTAATTAGAACAATACAATACATTACCGTAATAACATTTAATTTTGAAAATAGTAAATAATAGGTTTTTTTTATAACCTTACTTTTATTGTCACCCTCTATTGATTTGAAATCCAAACAATCTAATCACATCCTTGGATTCATTTTTGTAATTGTGGAGGAGACTAGTTTGAAAGTTTTGAAACATTCAGCAACTGGAAATATTCCATTAGTTTGGGAAGAAAAGACACAATTACCAATTTTATGTCTCATTTGAGTAGCAGAAAAGTAATATAACTAGTAAATAATTACTGTTGGCAGGTAGTAATAAGTAAAGTAATAATATTACCTTTGAAAAGAGTAATGAGTAATATTTTTTTGAGTAACTAACCCAACACTGCTAAGGAGAGAACTGAAGTCCTTCCTCTTCATTAGCTTAAACAATGTATTTTTCCCATAACGTCTTTCTTCCATTGGTCACAACCCATTCTGCATTCTTACATTTTTACTAATGAGCTGATACCCCAGCATCATGTGTTAGCTTAGCAGACAGAATAACACTGAGCAATGAGAACAAGTGGAAGAGAGGTGAAGGGGATTTGTTTCAATTCAACAAAAACTGCCAGCTTCTACCACGGTTCAAACACTAGTTCTGTCACAATAAAGGCGTTGACAAGACTGGCCAGCTCCAATACCAAGTGCTTTTCTTTCTTTTTCCCATTTTAATCCTAGCGGGATGCTAAACTTTTTTTCTTCTTTTGAAACAAATGATACTTTCGGAAAGGGTTTTAACTGCCACCTTAGCTTTTCATGCTTCATCTTACATTTTAGCGTCACTTGCCATTCAGCAGAAAAAGCGTCAACAAGAATACGAGCCTACAGCCTCGCTAGCTAGCAGTGCACTGAGCTAAATGCCAATGTCAGGATGCTAACATGCGCACAATGACAACGTTAGCAAGTTAAGTAGCAGGCATAATGTTTATCATGTTCACTATCTGAGTTTAGCATGTTAGCATGCTAA